CATAAGGAATGGAAGAAGTGGCCCAGATCCCATGAAGTGCTTATCAGAATAACTATAAAGATATAGCGATTATAAAATTAATCAATGACTGTTTTAGATTTCACAAAAAAAATTACTTTATCAATTTCCCAATATCTCATGTAGACATTTTGTTTCTTTCTTCTTTATTGGGACCACAAGAAAAGTTGTTTGCAATATTGCTTTCTGGAAATATTTTAGAAAACATTCCATTAATTTGTTGGCAACTGTTGAAAGAGTAATTAGCAGAAACAAATTTTAAACCCATAGAATCTCAGCAGTGAGAGTGTGTTCATTTGTAACATGAGCTATAATAGAACTTAGGGATGTAGACAATATTTGTGAGGCTCCTGTCACAATAGATGACTCTTTATCCAAAGCCTTTTGTGTCTCAGGTGCCTGTATCAAGGATGATTCAGATGAAGATTGTAGATCTGCAGTTACAAGCTGGGCTCTAGGCTTCACTGGTGTTGCTGTCTTAGTTTTAAATACTGATGTCAGTAACAAACACTGTGAACCATTTTTCACTTTGTGCTGATGTTTTGAAGATTTCATATGAGAAGTTAAAGCTGTTCCTCCATATTTGATATATCAAAACTTTTAGCTCAGATTTTACAAAAGGCTTTTGTTGGCATTGATGACTTCCCTAGCCAAAATCCAAAACATTCATCTTTTAACCAAGCCAAATTAAATGAGGTTATATATTTGGGCATTTTTAAAATCTAAAGTATAAATCCAATATTTCAATAAATCAGATGTAAATCTAGAGTTTAGCTCTACTAAAAGTAGATCTAGTATTGTAAATGATGTTAAATGGTGTAATGTTGAAGAATGTGAATGTCGTGGAATGCTGGGTTCTTGCTTCCTGGAGCACTCTTGACACGTGACAAATGTATACACTACAAACTGACTTAAGTCCGTTTCAGCAGACAAATATAAAGTTTATTTACAACATAATAATACTGCACTCCTTGTTAGTGCTACAAGTCAAGAAATAATAAACAATCCTATCTGCATAACAGCGGTATCAAATATATCCAATACGTTATTCTCTAGAGTATATTACAAAACACGTCCGCATCTCACTGTACAGAATAATCCAGAATAATAATATATGACTCAAAAAGAACACTGGCATCAACTGCCTAAAAGATACTTCCTAACTGTAAATACTGCTTGACTTTTCTAAGTCGCTACTGTCCGTCCCGGACCAAAAATGTATTACTTGACCACCCGGTCTAAAGGATACCACTTGACTTCACTTACTGACTTGACTGAACTCAAAGTCAACTTTATTCATTCTCCTTCCTGTTTTCTACATCAGGAATTCCAGGTGTCTTTTAAACTCTTAACATGACATGAACATTAAATTGGGCAATGTCAACTGAGACTGTGACAAGTATCCAATTGAATTCCAAGACCAAGTACTGAAGTAGACAAGATCTAGAATATACATTTAAATCTACATCTTATCATATTTAAATTTGTATTTAGGTCTATAAATAGCAGACACAAGCACTACGAAGACAAAATTCAAGTAGTCCAAATCCAATGATTTTGAGAATAATAATAATTTATAAGTCCAAAGCTCCAAGTTTGAATTGTTTCTGATGACTCAAACTCTATCATATACCTATCTTGTAGATCTGACTACTATATGTAGACCTATAGTCTATAATACTTGTATCTCTAGAATTCTATTGTAGATCAAACATGTCACACAGGTAAAATAAATTTAAAAAATAATAATTTAACTCTTTTTCTCCTAACTGACGATACCAGCGTTGATTCTACCAGAATGTGGTAAATAATTCCGGAGAGAAAGAGTTAAACATTGAAGGCTGATTATGATCACACAAGAACAGGCGAAAGAGCTAGCTCAGCTGCTTTAGACTATGTGTCGGTCTAATAAATAAGCATGGAGCCTCATTTACAGTGACAGGAAGTGAATTGAAAAAAAAAAAAAGTGCGCAGAATCATGATATACATTTTTATTCGCCATTTTTTTCTCGCTTTTTTTCGTAGCCGAAATCACTGAGTATATTTTTTTTTCAATTTCAGGAGATATTTTATGACTTTTCAGGAGATTTTTTTTTTAATTTCATGAGATTCCCAGGATATTTTCGTATATTTAGCAATTTCACGAGTTTTCCAGGGGCTCCTGGGAAATCAGGAGGCTGTGGGAAACCCTGTGTGTCATATTACCCAGTGATGTCTTCTTTGAAACTCTCATTTAAAAATCTTTATATTTCATCTGTTGATTTTTCTTTCATTGGTCTTAATGATATACACAGAGTCTATATCTAGGTATTCACATGTAATATACAAGAAAGATTTATTTAAATAATTACAATTTGTTAATAGAGACATATATAGATACATGTTGAAACATATAACCCTCTAGATTCAATGCGAAGTTGTGTGACAGGGGCTACACCAGCTGCAAACAAATTTAATTTTTTTAAGTTCTTTCTTTCTGACTTTTTTAACGGTTTTTGTGGAGATGGTGTGCCACTAAGTTTCACACATTTCGCAGAGAGCCTAGAAGGTGCCTTTATCTTTGGTCCCACAACCAACACAATAGTCATTAAAAATAGCAATGTCATCTGCTCCTAGGTTTGGCTGTGTTTCCATCAAAGTTGCATCTAGATGGTCAACTGCTCCTTGGGTTGGCTGTTTTTCTATTTCATTTATAAATAGAGGGTCATCTGCTCCCAAGGTTGGCTCTTTTTCTATCTCTTTTGTAACTAGAGGGTTTTCACCAAAGTTGCTGTCCGTATAAACTTTAGTTTTTTTTTTTTATTTTCCTGGCAGCTTGTTTTGCCTTTCCTCTTCATCTTTTTTTTTTCTTACTTTCTTTCAATAATTTGGTGGTCAGTCTCTTTTTTTCCATTTCGTCTTTTTCATCCACTTTCTCTTTAGTGGTTTTCAGAACTCTGCCCCACTGATGATTGGGGGGATTGTTGGGGTTATTTTCTTTTTTTCTTTTCCCTTCATTGTAAAAGTTGGTAATTTAAAAATAACATCTTGTGTGACAGTAGCTTAAGTGGTGGGTCTGGTACTACTTGAAAAACATCAACTATTAGTTTAATTAGCGACTCAAGGTGAATATACTTCACGCAGAGTGTCAGGAAATTTATGGTTCTTCATGTCACTTAATCTAGTGATAAGCAGTAACAGTTCACTTTTTGTCATCTCCTCAAAAATAAAAAAAAATTTCTTTTATTGCATCAATTTGTTTTGCAATTTAACTTCAAAGGGGTAGAGCTAGGGATATTCTGTGAACCTTGGGGAATAGAGGCTTGAGGTTGGGTTGATGAATCTTGTGGTGTGGATAACTCAAATTTAAATGCTTCAGATGCAGAGGGTTGAGGGTGGAATATTAATGAGGGCATAGAGGAATATAATATATATATACCGGTATATTTATATATAATTTATATATACCTACATATGTTTATTCAATCTACATTATCTACATCTTAAAATTAATAAATCTCTAGACTTCTATTGATATAATATGGTTAATGGATCTAAATATTGACATATCTATTATATATATATATATGGTGTTACAAATCGTGCAAACATAAACCCAACTGCACATACCCCTTTAATTACACTGAGCTTTATTTACAGCTTTGTTAAGATAATACTCTTGTTTATCCACCTATTTAGTGGCATCTTTCATGAGTTTCTTTTATATTATGCTTTATTATTATTTAAATCAGCCTTTATCCGGCACCCAGTTGAGTTTATCCGGAGGGAAAAAAAAGCAAAAATCACTCCTGATAACTTTGACTCAGCCTAGCACTTTGTTCATAAAACACAAACGAGGCAACATGTGTCGGAAGTATTGAAAAATGGAGCATGCACAATATCCTAATAGGAAGTTTTTCTCTAACTATCCAAATAAACAAGCAAGGAGCCAAAATTGATGGGCTGTCTGGTCTGTGACCGAAACTACGTTGCATGCGGAAATAGTTCTTTCCTATACATCGCATGATTTAAATGCTTGTAGGGTAACATTTGAAGGGTTTAACTGAATGTCAATACCTACTGAATTTCATGTTTGTTCTGATAATGACTTTTGGGTTGTGCTCCACAGTTTATTTTTAATTTGAATTGCTTTTCCCCTTATATTGATTTCCAAAATTTGTATAATTGCCTGGAATCTCAACTCATTTTCTTGGTTTTCTTTACATTTATCTGCTTGTGAATCTACAGCCTTGAAATGTTTGAAATGTTTTGAACAACGTGTTGCAAAATGATTTATCTTTTTACATTTTTTGGCAAGTTTTTCAATATGATGGGAAATTGTGTTTCCTGTGAGATCTACCACTAGATCTGCAATCTCTAATGATATGTGTTAAATGACTTCAACATTTTGTCCTCTGATCTTTTGACTTACAGTTTTATCTTTATTTCTGATGAACTGGCTTCATAGAGATCTACCACAAGATCTGCAATCTCTAATGATATGTGTTAAATGACTTCAACATTTTGTCCTCTGATCTTTTGACTTACAGTTTTATCTTTATTTCTGATGAACTGGCTTCATATACTTATAGTCCTTTTAAACCTTGCAATTGGTTTTGCATGTGCTCGTAAGCATGAATTATTTTTGCTATTTTTTCTAAAGTTAAATCTACATCTCTTCAGAGTCTATCTCTCACTGATCAGGCAGTATGCCAAATACTAATGGATCTTAAATAGTTCACCATGAAGGTTGTCAAACTTGCAATTTAATTCAACATACAGCTTGGGCTGGAAACTCTCTGAACAAGGAATCCATTTCCAGTTTTGAATAATGCATGGGTGTGTTCCATAAACACTGGTGCAGGAGCAGAGTTGTAAGACAACCCCTTGGTTAATGTTTGTCCCAAACAGAGACATGTTCATGACAGGCAGTGGAGATTTGCCGATAGAGGTTGATTTGTGGAAGCTAGAGATGGCTGGGAACTCCATTTTTAAATTTGTCTTTTCTGAGTCTCATTTGATCTTCCAGTTTATCATTTTTACATTTGAACTCCTCTTTCTGAGTCTCATTTGATCTTTCAGTTTATCATTTTTACATTTGAACTCCTCCTTCATCAACTCCAGTTTATCAACCTCCTTGGTTGCCTCAGATACAGGGATTTTAGATGGAAATATTTTAACACAACCTCAAAACACTTAGACACACTACATGACCATGTAGATGCTGGGAAATAGCTGAAAGAAATAATCTGTGTTAATTTTGGAAAAAATATATATAGTTAGACCAGATTAATAAATACAACTAGAATCTTTAATATTTTAACTAAATATAAGCAGATTTTAATACTTGAATTATAATTTATATAATGTCTGTGTTTACTGAGTAGAGAAATATAACCCTTGAAAGATTAAATGGCATGATATGGCCCACAGTGTGCAGATGTGCCAAATAACAGTAACATTAAAGCTCTTATAGACCCTTGCTTATATAAAAATCAAGTTTGATAAAAATTAATGTTGTTATATGATGTTTCTTTTTGTTTGTAGAATAAAATATAAGTGTATTCTAGCCATTACAATCAATTTCTATACTCATTGTGCAGTATGTACTTATTTAAATTACTGAATGAAATATAAATATAAGTACCTTATTTTTAGTACTAATTATTATATAAACGAAATATAAATATAAGTACCTTATTTTTAGTACTAATTATTAATTAAACTTTTAAAATTGACTGCTGACGGGTTTTCTGCAAAATGTTTTGATGAAATATTTTTAATACAAAGCAATGTATGTTGTATGTAAAAATGTTTGTCAAATAAAATAATTTTTTAAAAAATAATCTTGTTTATTATTGGATTTTTCTAATAAATGTTCTTATCCCTTTTCTTTATGAAAAAAGGGGGTTCGGAGTTTAAAGATTTGAACAAATTAAAATTAAGGCATGATGACTTTGTTGTAATTTATGATTGGATAGCTGCCTGGTCATGTGGTATGTGCTCTGTCTCTGGACTGTTGTTCAGTGATCTCAATGGTCTAGGGTTTGAACCCTGCCCACTACCATCCTGGAAAAGGTTTGGGCTAGGATGGAATTATCTGAAACATGTAAAACATATTACATACATTTCTTTTGTTAGAAACTGCATAGTTAAAATAATTAGCCAGTTGTTTTTTTTTTTCCATTTTATTTAAGGTTTAAATTTGTTTGAGTGTAAGCAATATACATTGTATTCAGTATAAATATCCACACTTAAGTCATATTTAAGTTGTGCATTCACTTTAATTAAATCATTCATCATCAATGTACTATTCCATCCAAAACCAGTCTCTTTCTATATACAAAACAAAAATCACCTCACTGACATCATAAATACCACACGTTATCAAATATAGCAATGTTTACATTATACACAGATGATACAGATACAATTAGCTCGTGTTAGAAGACATTTAGATGAGGCTTCTAAGTTGTTTGAAAATATGTGCTGGTCTTCATAAGAAACGAAAAGTAGTGTTTGTAACTGTAAGCAGATCTTCTACTGTGCATAGACTCTAATTATTCAGCTATCTAAATAGATAGTAATAATATAAATAGAATAATTTTAGAAATACTGCATATCTTCCTTTCCGAACCACAGGAAGTGGTCTGTCCTTGTGTGACCTTCCTCTTTGTTTTTGCCAAGAGGTTTTGCTGTGACTTTGAACCCTGACCAATCTAGCTCAATGCTGAGGTCAGCTAAACACTTGCCAGAGACAATGTATGGAGGCAAGTGAAGCAGTTCTTTTTTGTCTGTGTACCTCCCAGTCACTGCATGAAATGCCTGCAGAAAAAAATAATGATAATAATAAAATAATATATAATACATGGAGTAGATAATTGACCTTTGTGGAAACAAGTTTCATGTGGCAGGACTAGACACTTTTATTTTCCCTAAAAAATATATACCATTGGTACTAAATGGCTTGGAGAAATCTATGTCTAGAAAAACAAATTCAAGTCTTCACCTTGATTCGAACTTCTGAATCCTTAATTTATTGCCAAGTGCTTTATTACTTGTACACCATAGATCAAGAGTTATGAGTTAGGCTAAACACAATTAAATAACCTTCACAACTTATCTCACAAGGGTAGTAGTACAAAAAAAAAATAATATTGTGGTTCACTAGCATTACAAGACAATCAGTTGTTGTTAAGGGAAGTTTTGACTTAGAGACAATGATGTGACGAGTAAAAACAATTAATTAATTAATTCCTAATCGTGCCATAACAGTTGGACATATATTTTTTGACTTCCCTGGTTAAGTAAATAATTATAGCAATTAACTTCTATAAGCTTTACTTTTAAAGCAGCAAAGGTATCCAGCAAGGCGTTAGTTGTTATCCACCTGTCACTTGTCTGAAAACGTGTGCTGTTGATTGCTGTATCTTGAAACTGAAGTAAGCCCCACCTGAAAAAATGTTTACTTAGTCACTTTCATTTCAGTTACGATCAACAGAATAATGTTTAACTATATGCATTGATAATGTTTAAAAAAAATATAAAAACTAACACAAAAATGAAAAAGTTACAAACTCTATGGTTGAATAAATGTTTATAAAATTAATATTTTGTAATGAATGAGTCATATTTACTTTGTAACTGGGTTTTTTTTTTCATAAAGGATTTTAGATATATGGCTTTTCTATAGCAATCTTTCTGGGGAAAAATGTTTTATGTTTAATATTGTTGACTTCCTTCACTCATAGAATGACTTTGGTTCATCTCGTAGAGCATTTTGTTCATGTGGCTGAAGAGCTCTATTCTGGAGAGACATTCCTGTTCACATATAATGTAGGTTGAGGTGGCAATGGCAATATTTAATCTATTGGTCAGAAAAGCCAATGACTTAGCAGAGTTAAAGTCTCTAATATGCACACCTAGGTAAACACATGGTAACTTGTAGGATCTAATTTTTTTTTTTGAAGGAATGTAGGTCTATGTATTTATATGAAAATATACTCTAGAAGCAGCATTTGTAGTGGATGTGCCTAGCAAACTGAAACAAAATCACAAAATCTCTTATTTTTATAAAACCATAATAGAATTACCTCTCTGGTAAGTGGACATTGATAACTTCTGGTGATTGCCAGACCCACCATTCAGTACTGGCATCTGTCAACTGAAGCAGACATAAAGTTATTGATATTTAATTGAAAAATAAGTAGTTTTTTGTTTTTTTTTTGCTTGTTTGAAAATAAAGTATATTTAAAAATATGCTGTTTTAGTTTAATTATAGTTCTAATAAGATCTGATTGCTAATAAACAAATACTACCTTTTCATAATAGGTTCCAAAATTTCTTATTGGCCATTGCGCCCTGAGAAATACAAAGAATAGTGATGAATGAGCATTGAATGTAACAATGCCTTGCTTATATAATAGATGTTTACTGTTTATCCTTTTTTATATTTATGGTATCTTGTAATTTCCAGATGTTCTTATATTAAATAACTTAAAAATATAGGTCTGTGTTTACTTATACTAGTTATAGTCTTTATTGTTTTTATTTACAGAATTAAGAGTTTCAGTTTAAAAGAGGAAGATTTAAAAATGAAATAAACAATATATATGACTACTTTCTGTGCTCCTTACCTAAGAAAATTAGCTCTCCATGTCTCTCCAGGTTCAGGAGCTGATCTGTTGAGTGATGCACCAGAACCTTGGTACATGGCAGTGAATGGTATAGCCATCTCTATAGTCCAGTATTCATCTGTAAACACAGAAAAATGTCCCCCCAAAAAACAGAATTAATGTTTTTGCAGTCAAAATAGAAAATGCACAAAAAAAAAAAAAATACATGATAGAACACTTAGTTGGATCCCGCAAGTGCAGATCTAATATAGAAGGCATAAAATTCTTAGTGAGTACATTTTGTAGACTGACTACAGGGGGGGGGGGGGGGGCTGGCAAGAAAGACAGCAGTTCACTTCTTGGTGAGGTCTAAGATTGAGCAGAGATGAACAGTCTAAGTGATCTTGTACAATGAGGTAGGTATGATAAATTTGGGAAAAGGAGGGGAGAGGAGTATTTGATCTTGCAATATTTTTCTACTTCTTGCCTACCTTGTTTTTTAGGATTGTTGAGTGTCCCTTGTATATGAACTTCTGACATGACATCACTCTCCCAAAAAGTTAATGGCTCTCCACTATCTACATAGGCCTATGACCAAAACAACAAACTTTTAAACAATATAACATAAACAAGCTATTGGTATTGCCATTCCCAGACAGTTTTTTTTTTTTTTTTTTTTTTATTTTAAAGGGAGATAACAGTTTAACCTCATTATAATAGATATGTCAGTGATAGATTTTCTACAACTTCTAGGATCTAGATATAGTCTTAGGCCACATTTCACACTGGAAACTTTTTTTTTAATTATAGGAAATGTCACAGTGTCTCACAATGCTGAGGTCTAGACCTATACATGTTAAAGTGTTCAGATTCTGTGTAGATTTGACATTTACATGTTCAGTTATGTGGACTGGGTCAAAAGATTATAAACTGATTTTTTTTTAAAAACTAAACTGATGTATCTATAGGCCTATGGTCTTTTTAGACCTGCAAGTTTTAAGATCTAATAATAAAGTGTAACCTGGTTACCTTTGTCATCATTAAATCTGATATTATTCCCTTTGCATTGATTGTTATTTCTTTGTAGCTGGGAAAATAAAAGACATCCATTTTTTTAAAAATTGGCTACAATGTAATTGTTAAGAAAAATAAGTGTGAGGGCAGATGCACTGGATTTTTTTTTCTAATACCAGGTAGCGCGTAAACAAAAGAGTCGATAGTAGTTAAGGAGAAATAAAATGTATAGACGATAATATATTAATGAAATAATAAACATCTAAAAATAACTTTTGATTGGTGTGTAGGCTAACTTTCACCCTTCAAGCGCCCCCTCTTTTGTTTCACTCACTCCTATTTATCTTTACTAAGGCGCCATTTCGCCCTCACTGGCATAAAGGAAAGTAGCTCTCACAAAGGTTGCGGGACAAACATTTGAGACTCAAAGTAAAGCCATTACTGAAGACAGGCGCAAAAAACGGAAAGAAAACTTAGATACACCACCAGCGGACAACGGCTTTGTCTGCACAATATGCGGGAAATATACAGGTCGCAACTGGGGTTAGCGTAGTCATGTGAAACACTGCACTCTTCCCTTAATCTTCGGAATCGAAGACATTGCCATTATTATCTTGACTAATGTAGCTAAACGAATAGCAAACTTTTAAGAATATGATAAACCTTTAAAATACTGGCCGATAGAAATATTTTCTAAGCAATGGGTTGTTATTAAAATTCTTATAATTGCCTTGTCATAGAGAAATAGTTTGCCTAATTAGTCATTCTCATGCCTTTGAATTCTATATAATCTCTAGGCAAAAAAAATGCCTTATTTTTATTTAATGCCGGATTACGGGCACGACATGGCCTAAATTGTGCCGATGTGCCTAAACTCAAAACTCAACTAACACACAGAAAACTATAATAACTCTCTCTCTCTCTCCACATCTCTCCCTATCTCTTCAACAGGGCCGGCCTTACAAATTGCGGGGCCAAATTAAATGGATAATTGCGAGAACCCTCGTCTACTTTTTTTTTTACTATAACAACCATGGGCGTAGCCAGGATTTTTTTCGGGGGGGGGGGGTTG